GCGGAAGTGGCTTTGCCTTCTTAGTGCTGCGCTTTAACCCGCTGCGCCACCAGGGAGGGCCAGCCTCCCAATTTTATAAAGGCTTTCAGCGGTTGGGCAACCTTCCGGAGGTCTAACTGCTGGGATTCCAGGGTAAATCATAACAGTCGAGGGCAACCTTCTGCTTCCCCCAAGCTTATACAAACGCAAACTTTACAAAAGCCCCTAGTCTTAGGACAGGAATGGCACATATACACAGAAAACTCTGGTTTCCTCCCATGTGTCACTCCTGCCTGCTTGACATACCAGTCACTTCTCAAGTCCCCTCTCTCTCTTTTCTAATCCAGTTCTGTGCCACTCATCTGGTTTCTACCCAGTTATTGTCTGCAGGAACAGCAAACTTTGTCCTTCACTCTAATCCTGTCCTGTCCTTGTCCCCTTCCTGGCCCTCTGCCAGGTGAAACTGTGAACTACTCTATACTTTGGAAAACAATCTTACCTAATAAAATTTTTAAAAATGCATATTATAACTCAGTATTCTTATTTTATCTACCTGTCACTTATAAATACTGTCTCTGGTGAAGCTTCTCACCGCCCCTGAGCCTCTGGCCTGTACCCCAGTTCTGTATGCACGAATAAATAAATCTTTAAAAAAAAAAATTGTATTGTATTCAAGGAAAAGCATTGAAGCTACCATATCCTATTATATCTGTCCCCTAACAATGCATTGTTAGGCAATTTCATCATTGTATGAATGTGATACAGTGTAAATTACACAAACGAAGTTTGCAACAGCCATCTACACATACAGGCTAGATGATATAGCCATCTTGGGGCCATCATATGTACAGTCAATAACTGACCAAAGCATCACTGAAATACACATGACTATATATTATTGAAATTCATAATATAAACATGTCCACATTAAAGTGAATCCAGCATTCTTATTACTTCAAACATACATTAAAGATTCTTAAAATTTATTTCTTTGTTTATGCATACAACAGCTGAGGTATAGACCAGAGGTGCAGGCGTGAAAGGATTCACCAGAGACGGAGTATGGAGCAGAACAAGCAGATGGACTGAAATCCACTGCTGAGGGGAGCAGCAAGAGTGAGACAGGAGAGTTCTACCGCGCCCTGTGGGGCAGCTCTGGGTTCCAGGATGCAACAGGTGCTACAGTGTCTGCACCATCAGAGAGAGCCCATTGGGACTGATTTAGGGGCAACTATAGAATTTTGTTGCTGACCCTGTAATTGACACAGAACATGACTATATCCAATATCTTTTTTCATTTAAAGTCTATTTACTCTGATGATAACATAACCACTCCTACGCCCCTTTTAACCGGTGTTTGCATGGACTATCTTTTTCTGTCCTTGTACTTTTACCTATCTGCTAGGGACAGCATATTCAAGAGCTGCATCCGTTTTGAAATCCAATCTGATAATCTCTGCCTTTTTATGACACTTTAGCCCATTAATATTAATTACTAATATGGGGTTTATTTCTGCCATATAGCTATTTGTTTTCTGTATGTTTTTAGCCATCATTCTTCCATGACTGCTGTTCTTATAAAACTAGTTGATTATTTGTAATAGACCATTTTTATTCACTTATTTCCTTCTGCCTATTTATCTTCTTACTGGTTACTTTGAGAATTTCAAATAACCTCCTAACAATCTCCTCACACTCAGAGGGCAGAGCAGGGAAACAGCAGAAAATACGGAGCCAGAATCCTATAGACACTGAAGTATTCTGGATCAAAGTGTACCTGAAACCCTTAATAATAATGTCCATAAACTATCACTTCCATGTGGACCCTCTGAGTGACAGTTTTGCTACCTGCAACTAAAACCAAAATCTTAACTTTTCCAGAGTCCTCTCTTTAAGCCACACGCTAGTTGTTGACATAAAAATATTTAATGGGGCCCTCCCTGATGGCACAGTGGTTGAAGCACAGCACAAAGAAGCTTAAGCCACTTTCACATGAGTTACATTCCCGCCTGCCCTGGAGGAGATCCACATGGCGCAGCAGACCTCTCCCGACCCGCCCGCTGCTCCCCTCAGCAGTGTACTTTGTCCATCTGCCTGTTCTGCTCCCCACTCTATCTCTGGTAAATCCTCTCACCCTCCGCATCTCTGGCCTGTACCCCAGTTCTGTACGAATAAATAA